ACTCTTCACGGTTAGGAGAACGAAATGCTTGTCCGACGCGTGGTCCGCCGCCGCCCTACATCCTGCAACCTGTCAGCGACGGGGGCAAACTCGCAAACCGAGGGGCGGGGGGGGTGGGGGGGGGCAGCCGGCCGGCCTGGGCCCGCCCAACTCATCACTCTGCCAGGACGCTGGGATTCCGCGCGCGCACATACAGAAGCGCAAAGGTGAAAGAAGACGGGCGCAAGGGAGAGACAACCAGTCGGCATTGCACGGCGCCCAACAATCGCTCCGAAATGAACGCGGGCACGGTGACAACATGCACAATCATAAGCGCGAAAGAAAGAAAGAAGAACGCATGGATGGGCAGGGAGAAGCAATGAGTGGATGGACGAGGGGAAGGACAACAGGAAGCGAGAAGAAGAGGGCGTCGAAGCGCACCTGCGGGGGCGCCCCACCCCGACGCAAAACGACGTGAGAGAATGGAATAGAGAAGCTGGATAACGGGGGACATATCGATAAGTCTCTGTCGCGTTGGAAGCTTTGTTAAAAACAACCTGTAGCAGCGCCCAGCCAAGGCGACGAGGCAGAGACGCAGCAGGTGTCGCCACCGGCGAAGCACAAGAAGTGAACCTGCCTCGGTATCCGAACAACTCAGGTTGTCCGGCGCTTCCCGCGCGGCCGGACTGAACGGGGGCTCGCACTGGCGGGATCGCACCATGCCGTCTCGAAGCTCAGAAACACGAGGTGGGGGCGCATACTTCCAGAATGGGAACCTTCCCACGCATGCAAGATCGCCAATTCAGCTTCCAACAAAGACAATCAACGATGGATCACAAAACGCACAAAGAATGGGCAAAGAGAGTCGTCACATCATCTGAAGCGATTGCGCCGTCTTACGAATGGCGCGCTCGTGTCAGAGTGGGCGTTCGCCTTGACCTCGCTCGGAAGCTGTCCTGCTGAGGTGCAGGTCGAGAAGGCCACAAAAGAAATGACGTTACAAACACTCTCAGGGACTGACAGCGTCGGTCTCGCAACTCTGGTAAAGCGGCTGATAACCTGTGAGAGGGATGATCGGGCAATGCTACCAGTCTGCTATACCCACCCCCTGCGGGATGGCGCCTGCATAGGGCACATGGCCGCAGGACACCCCGCAGAGACGCGTGCGCCTTGAGGGTCACGCACAGAGAGGAGTCTGCAGGTGTCGCCACTGGCCTGGCCTGGGACGTCTCCCACACAAACAGCGCCCAAGAGGTTCGAAGATGCCTCCGAGAAGGCCCAAGAGTACCCCAATACGCCCAAGGTGGCCTCAACACGGCCCAAGAGGCCCCGAAGACGTCCCAAGAGTGTTCCAAGAGGCGTTCGAAGAGGGTCCCAAAAGGCAATCATCATTGATTATCCAGAAAGGTTTCTGAAGGTTGTCGGCCGTCTCGCCTTTTCGGCTTCCTGGCGCTCCAAGACTGCCAACGAAGCCCCAGGATCGCGCCAGGACGTCCCAAAAGGCCCGGAACGCGCCAGGACGGCCCAAGAGGCCCCCGAGAAGGCCCTACGACGGCCCATGAGGGCCCCAAGACGGCCCAAGAGGGCCCCAAGACAGCCCAAGAGGCGCCCAGGACGGCCGAAGAGGCGCTCAAAGACGGCCCCAAGAGGGGGTCCAGATCGGGAACCCGAATAGACATTTCAAGCCCTCAGCTTGAAGGGGAGGGGACCCCCCAGGAGGCCCCAAGCGGCCCCCAGGAGGCCCCCAAGAGGCCCCCACGAGGCTCCCAAGATGCCCCAAGAGGCCCCCAAGAGGCTCCCAAGAGGCAAGAGGCCCCCGAGAGCGTATACAAGGAAGCCGCGGGTAGCACGCTCGCGTAGATGACGAAGATATGTGATGAGCAACCTGCACACGTGTCTATAACTTTTGGTTGGGACCTGAACGATTGCGCAGGTATTCCTGATCCCATGTGATCGATGGGTTGCTACTTTCCAAACAAGAGCACTACTGCATGGGTCGAGAACGTCAGTTCATGGAGCGGTTCGGGCTGTTCCTGACAAACACGTGTATGGCGGGTCGTGACACATACTTCAGACGTGCGCGCAGTTCTTGGACCGATTATGTCGGTGCCCCTGGTTCGTGGTATCTTCTGCTCTCCGTCGTGTTCGTGACCGAATCGGCCGCTGCCTGCAAATGACCCACCCCCACAGTAGAAGCGAAACATTGACAACAGATCGACTGGTGGGGGGCGTGGTGGACGGGCTGTGGCGTGCTAGGTTCTCACAGGAGGTGGAGGAGCACTGCGGGCGCACCTTTGTCCAGTGGAGGCAGCACGAGTGCCTTGCTGCACCGGATGAGGGGTGGCAGGCCTTTGGTCAGGATGCTCGGCGTATCGAATTGCAGTCTTATCATGAGAATCAACGATGACTGTGGCCAATCCCAGAGGAGGAGGAGAAGGCCAATGCGTATACACATGCGCGGACAAAGCAGCGTATACCTACTCGCGCAACGTGCCGCTCTTCACCAACGACTCGACACGTGTGACAGCGTGGCCATGACCGGGCGTACGCAGCTCCAGAAGAGACTGTTGCGGATCACGCGGGAAGTCAAAGACCACAGAGTCGCCCTCAGCACTCGTCGAGCGGAGAGCCCAGGCCAGCAGGCTGTCGGAGCCTGGAAGGCCAACCAAAACATGCGCTCATCCGTCGTCTCTGCCGACGGCTGGCAGCTGCGACCGTAGGCGCGGGCCGCCGATCCTAGAAGACTCCAGTGGCGCATTGACCGGCGATCCGGATGTGGAGCGACCACCTCGCCAGACCAGGATCTCTCGGAGGCCAGCGAACACTGGAGGTTGATCCTGCACCCCCCCCCCCGAAACGCCAGGAGCGCCACGATGGCATGCGACTTTGGAGCCCCGCCCTCGAGGACGAGGCGAACCGGGACTTGGAAGGCCTTCGAGCGGCCCTGGTGCGTATGAGATATCCCCCTGACGCTTCCTATGGAGATGTCCAATTGTCAATTTACCAGCTTCACAATTTATGAATAGTTGTCACGCTCTCGCCATTCCGGGCTTCTGATACCCGAAGACGGCCCCAGGCCTCCAAATTGGCGCAAAGACTGTCCAAGAGGCCCGATGGGCCAAAGGGGCCAAGTTGCAATGATAACCTTGGAAAATTGCTCCTCCTTGCTTTGCGCCTTGGCTGTGCCCTCAGGACTCTATTTTTCCGTCATGGCGAGGCATACGAAAGCCCCATGTTCAAAGATTCGAAAATTACGCCAGCGATTTCAACATACCCATGTTCTGATGATCTCTCAGGCGGAGCGCTCATTCAAAAAAAATAGAGGCGTCGTCAACGAGGACCTCTGACGTCGCAGTGTGGCGCGAGACGAGAAGAGTGCGCGGCGTTGTTCTGGCGCCATGCCCGTTTTGTCACTTGCGCTCGCACTCTCTCTCTCTCTCTCTCTCTCCGTACGCCTCGCCTCCTTTTGCGCGCGCACGTTTCCGATCAACGCGTGCGCACTGAGGCAGAGGTACCCGATGGCGAAGTGCGCGTACGCAAGCGGTGCGTGGCATGATCTCTTCCCGTGGAGCGCGAGTGGCACGGTGAACTCCACAGCCTTTCCCATGTCGTTACGTGGCGCATCGGCTTGCCTGCGCATTCACCCCCATTCCTTCCGCAAGGTTTGACGCCATGGCGCGCCCCGAGTTCAACGATGTCCGCCCAGAGACATGCTAGGGTGTAAACCATTGTGTCGGCAAGCGCGTCCCCATTCGCCCCACCAACACCACCTAAACATCATAATCATGGTCACCACCATCACCATCAGCAACAGCAGCAGCACCAGCAAGAGCATCATCACATCAACCAAAATCATCACCGCCACGATCGTGAGCAATAGTACCAGCGCAAGCATCAGCTTCGGCATCATCAACGGCATCAGCACCATCAGCAGCAGCATCATCACCACCACAACCACCATCTCACCACCACCACCATCATCATCATCATCATCATCATCATCAGCAGCAGCAGCATCATCATCATCGTCATCATCATCATCATCATCATCATCATAATCATCATCATCATCATAATCATCGTCATCATCATCATCATCATCATCAGCAGCAGCATCAGCATCAGCATCAGCATCATCATCATCAGCATCATCATCATCATCATCATCAGCAGCAGCATCAGCATCATCATCATCATCATCATCATCATCATCATCATCATCATCCTCATCAGCATTTTCATCAACAACGTCACCATCGACATCTCCACCCTGACAGGTTCCTGACATGAAGGGGAAGCGCTTGAAAGCGAAACACAGTGCAATAACGTGCAGCACCATCATGATCAACTGCAGTGTGGGCGAGCCCCCGAACTTCCACAAAAGAAACCCGTATACGCGCGCTCCCCGAACATGCACAAGTCTGCTCCCGATCATCATCCTCACTCTTCTGTGATCCTCCAATTTCCTCCGTCACGCCCTCATGGTCTTCGCCGTTTTTACTATCATCAGCAACGACATCATCGCCGTCATCCCTCTCTCAAATTGCCTTCTCCTGCTCGTTTTACGTGGGCGCGGGGACCAAGGAAGACAGGCAATGGGGCTGGCGCTTCGAGATCCGTTGCATGCCATGCGGCGCAACGTGCCTTCTGACACTATGCAAAAAGCGTCGGGACGTTGCTAATCTCGGTCCAGAGTTGCGCGAGAAGCGAAGCCCATCGGCCTGGGAGTGTTATTTGGCGGAGGTGACGGGCTCGGCGGCGTGTGGAAGAGCCCAAGAGCAGGAGATCAAATCGCATTCGGAAGGCTTTCCTCCGAAGAGAACCCCACCAGGGCCGAGGAGACCTTCAAAGCGCACTCTGGAAAACCATGGAGGTCTGACGACGTTCCCTAAGAGCGCTGCAGGGTCTGAAGATGCCCCAGGTCTCCAGGGCCGACCCGCCCGTCGGTTGCGCTGCGCTCCCCGCCCCTTCCGCCCTCTCCCTCGTCGTCCCCTAGCGCACGCCGCTTCCAGCCACCGAGCCTGAAGGGGCCCTTCGTGACGCCGCCGACTTTCAGGGAGTACCTCGCGGCCGCGAGGCATCGAGGGGGAGAGGGGAGGTTTCGGGAAGGAGGGGCTGGAGCTCTTGCGGTGTGCTAGGAGGCTTGGAGGCGGAAATTGAAGGTCGATGGGAAACCTGGAGGTTAGAGGATGTTAGAGGGAGCAGCAGCACTGATCTGCAAACGCCCCCGCCTGTGACTGTCTTCGAGCCAGCCTGACCTCCTGACGCCCCGCGTCTCCTTCCTTCCTTCCTTCCTCTCGTCGTCCTCTCCCTCCTCCCTCCTCCCTCCCTTGCCACTGCCCCCCCGCATGTTCTCATCACCATAATCAGATTCATCATCACCTTCATCACTATCGTCATCATCTTCGTCGGCATTACCATCACCATCGTCATCACAAGCGTCATCATCATCAGCACCAGCATCACCACCATCATAATCATCATCATCAGCAGCACCATCATCATCATCAGCATCATCATCATCATCAGCAGCACCATCATCATCATCATCATCATCATCATCATCACCATCATCATCATCATCATCATCATCATCATCATCATCATCATCATCATCATCATCATCATCATACAATCACCATCACCATCACCACCATCATCATCATAATCATCATCAGCATTATGTTTCGTGGCCCCACAGGGAACTACGCCTAAGGCCCTCGTGGCTGCGCGCGCGTGCTGCCACCCCCTCACTTTGGAACACCCCATCACACGTTTCGTGGTCCCACAAGGAGCTCCACCTACGGCCCCAGTGGCTGCGCCCGCATGCCGCAACCCCGTCACTTTGGCACACCCCTCACCTCTCCTCACGCATTTCGCGGCTCCGTCGGGAGCTCCACCGATGGCGGTTCTCACACTGGTGGTACTCACAACTGTAAGTGTTTGGGCCCTTCGCCAGGATCATGTTGTCACTACGTGGCTCCCGGAGAAGGTCTGGGCCGGGACCCTGCCCTGGGGACAGGCGTTGCATCCTGAGGCACTCTTTGACGGCCCCAGAGCCCTGTGAGGGCGCCTGGAGGACGCACGCTGCAGAAAACCGTCCGACGTAGTTTTGCCACGACGCGAGGACTTGCGCGTCCGGCCCGGATAGAGGCCTCCCAGATGAGATCCGAATATATGGGGTCGAAGCATCGCGCCGCATCGCCGATGCATCGCCGGTGCATTGGCGATGCACCTGCGGCGTCGGCGGTGCATCGGCGACGCCGGCGTGGAGAAAATCGGGCTCCACATCGAACCGCATCGCCGATGCATCGGCGATGCGGCGGCACGACCCCCAGACCCCATCTACTCCGACCCCACCGAGAAGACCTGGACCAGAGGATGCCAATCCTCTTCTCCTCCCCTTCTCCTCCCCACCTCCGCGCGCGGGCACGTCTCCGCAGCCCCTCCCAAGAGGAGGGGAGAGAAGGAGAGGGAGAGGGATGGAAGGAGAGGGAAGGAGGGAGAAAGGAAGGCGGGAGGAGAAAGGAAGTTGGGAAGGCCCAAGCGTACCCCCAAGACGACGTACCCCCAGTGAGGCGCGCAGCGGCCACGGTTCCAACTACGGTGGGCGCCAAAATGCAACCGCCGGGAGCCCCGAGGTGAGCCGCGAGGTACTCTCTCCAAGGTACGTCTGTTCCAAAGTACGTTTGGCGTCCCCTGAAGAAGAACCTCCCCGCCTCCACTACACCGACGCCATCCACAAGTTGCTGGGAGTTGTTGTACGATGGCCGGCGCAGTCGGTCCACCAGTGTAGACAGGTGCCACGGCGAACTCCAAACTGCCACCTGAAACAGCCAGCGATTGGCAACAGTCACTAGTCTAGCAGAGTACATGTCAAACCTACACTTGGTGTGAGGCCAGGCGGCAGCTAATTTGAGCTACAGCTGAGGTCAATGGAGATCCAAACTGGGCACACTATTACCTATACGACCACCTTGCGGGTGATAAGGAAGTTTGGGGGGAGGCAGCAACGGGCAAAAGTGGCGATTGTTGTTCTGACGATGCCTTTGGCGCGGAGTCTAGTGAGTAGTGCGATTGTGCACGTGAGCGTGATGTGATGTGGCGACGTTGGCGAAGCGCACTCGACATTGTCGTGAAGCGCTGTCCCCGCGTGCGCTTATCAATCGCGCGAACCTCACCTCAGCGGTAGTCGACGTGGTCGAACGTGCGTGCTGCGGTACCACAATGACTGATCGCAGCGCCACCCAATGGTGCCTTGGTTGCAGGTCCGGCGCTCGAGGCACGAGCGAATCTTGGCGCCACCGGCCGCGAGAGGAGAATCATTCGGTCCAGCCGCGGCCCAGCCACAGGAGGATTTCGGGACACCAGCGGGACACCGGCGGGACACCGCGGGCAACCGGCCACCGGAGGAGAAACATTTGGTCCAGCCGCGGCCCAGCCATAGGAGCAGTTCGGGACACCAGCGCGACGAGGAGGATGTGGAAGAACTGAAGAAGGCATAGGCGGAAGGATGATGAT